CAGCCCTTTTCTACAACAGCAATTTCACTGACCTGTCCAACAGTATCAGCCTTTCCACTCAACTCTTTGATTTGTGTTCACGTTTGCTTAAAGCTAGGTCAGGACTTCAGACAGAAAATAGAAACTATAGTACCTTCAGAACAGGAGACTTCACAAATCATTAATTATGTTAATTCTGAGAATTATTAAAATTTGAAAATATAATTCTATTAAAATGTGTGTGATTATTTTTACTTTATAGGCTACCAGGAATATACATGCCTAATTTTCAAACATATAAATATTTTCCACACTTTTTCTTAATTTCCTTTCCCTTCTTTTTCTACTTATACTCCTCTTGTTTTTAAGAACACAGAGAAGAACTGGTCAGGGCAGTAATCATGAGATGCTGGAGTTCCTGAAAAGAAGAGAAAAATACAAAAACAAAATCACAATCAAGCCTGGACTTTAAGAGAAAAAATTTTGGTCTGTTCAGGAGTCTGTGTTCATGGAAGAAATCCCACCATGGCAGAGATTCCTGTAGAGAAGAGAGGCTCAGGATGGGACTGGTTTTCAAGGAGCTGCTCCACTGAACTCAACAATGGTCTGTTCCAAAAAAGCAGGACACAAAACAAAGGTGGCAGCAAATGTTTTCAAGAAGACAGGGAACTTCAGGACATTCAGCCTGACATGAGGAAGAAATTAAGTAACTACACCTGTTAAACCTAACTCATCAAACTAAATGCTCTTCTCCAGCTTGGAGCTGAAGTACCTTTGTTTCAAAAATACACATTCAAAAAAAAACCTTTGATCACAGACAACTCAACCTGTATCTAGCTCATCTTTTTTTTCTCACAAATCGTAAACCACAGTAAATCCACGCGTTGAAAAGATAACACCAGCTCACAGGAAATGTTTTTTCTGAAGACATTAATTTAAACCAGGCAGGAAACATCGGCTTATCTTGAAGACAGGCTGAGGTCAAGAGTTGAGAGCTGCAGCTCAGCTGTGGACATGCTATTGGTGTAAAGAAAAAAGCAACAATCGACCACGACCAGGCTCAGGCATAAATATCTAATTGCTCTCATTCTTGTTGCAATGATTCAGGTGGAAAGTTAAGAAAGATTTCTCCAGTGGTGACAGCTCTGCTATAGCCTTTGCACATCAAAGTATTCTCTTCTTACCTACCCAAGCATTATCCTTCACCTCCATGTACTGAATTTTGAAGAACTAATCATAGGGAGCTGATCAAATAAAAAAATATTTCTGCAAGGCCATATGGGAGTTGAGCACATCCACTTCATTACAGTCACCCAATCAAGGTCCATTTAAATGCATAAGAGCATAATAAGCTACAGAGACAGAAACCTGGTGCACATAAAATAACAGAGGGAGCATTTTCCACATAATATCAGCGGATGGATGTGAAATTCTGCACTGTTTTATTTCTGAAACTGTTGTACATTAAAAGATTAGCAAAATGAAAAATCAAGACAGGCAATTTGTCTTTCATCCCTTCATTATTTATTTTGGGTTTAACATCAGCATGAACAATTCCTCTTGGTGATCCTCATGGATCCCTTCCAACTCAGGGCATTCTATGACTCCATGATTCTATGAAGGAAAATGCCCCTTGCAGAAGGAGGAGCTGTTTAAAAACAAGGCAAAGGGAAAACACTAGCTCACCTCCTTTTATCATAGATGGAAAGACCTGTTAAACCATCCAAAAATATGAGAGTAACATGAAACTTATGTGAAAAAAGTAGCCTTTTTATATGCCTTGGACAGTTGGGGGAGATGTGTGTGGATTATTGCTATTTCTTGATGGTGCAGCACCTGCTATAAATAAAACCACAAGCTGTAGGAGGTAGCACATAAACCAGTGCACTCTCACATTCTCATGACTAAAGCAAAGCCCTCACCAAAAATACAATTCTGTGAATTCAGAAAAGCAAGAGTACTGCAGTACTTCTCTTTCATGTGGCTGAACAAGAGCCCTTTGCAACATGCCCACTGTAGCACAAAGAAGATTTTGCAGTTCAAAGACTTTCAAAGCTCATATGTGGTTTAAAAAATTCCAAGCATGGTGAAGCCAAATCATATCAGGAAAATTTAATATCTGTGCCTCCTGTCTGTTGTCACTTTTTGGACCACTTTTTTCACTCTGCCTGCTCTGGACAGGATTTCCTCATCCTTAGGAAATCCATTGGATCTAATTCAGTCTCTCACTGTAAAGCTGATCAGATGCCTGAAGAAGACAGGTAGGAGATAAGGCTTTATGTGCAATGAAAAGTAATCTACATTTAAGAAGAACAGAGAAACAATCCATCAGAAACTAATTAAATTATGCAGATGGCCCTGTCATCTTTGAGAAAATGAAATATAATAATAAAAAGGCAACATTTTTGATGGGAACAAAATATTCAAATTAAACAATTAAAACAAAGTCTATTACTAAAAACTGAAAAGCCCTGATTCTCCACAAAACAACTAAAAAATTACCACCAAGTCCTCAGTGGGTTCACTAAGGAGAAACTGATGTGTGGGTCTACATTGATCCTAAAATGGAGACTGCTATGTGGAAAAGATTTCTGTATAGGTTACTTTAAAAAGCAGGGACAGCAGTTAAATTAGGGTAACTCCACATGTACAATTACATGATGCCAGCATCAAATTTACTGTAATTTAGATTCAGTTACTTTCAAATCAACACAAATTAACCAGGGGAAGACAAATCAGAGTAAGAATGCTTACATTCTTTGAATGAATAAGGCCACTTTATTGAAGGGAAATGAAATCACATCTTATTAAACAGCAGGAAAAGGCCTTTTTGTGGGCAATTTCATAAGCAGGGTCTTGGCACAGATTTGCTTGCAGGGGAAACCAAAGTAGATCTTTTGTTGGAGGCTGTGAGGTGCTCAGCATCTGAATTCCCATGGATTGCCTTGATCAGAGCTTTCACAACAGAAATAAAATATGAGCATTTGTGTAAAGCAGAGCATTGCTTTCTGTGCTCTGAGAACAGTGCTGCATTTGTTACCTTCAGCTCTCTGTTTAACAAGGCTCCCTGTGCATTATTTGTCAGGTCTGCAGCAGCACTGGGGATGCTTTCACAGCTCTGGGATTGTATTACCTGCCACACACCCACCTTTCACAGGCAAGACTTTTCTGAATACCCATTCTTCAGTGGGAGGTTTGAACCAATCAAATGCTTTTTTAAATGAATAGTTTATTCATCAAAGATAACTGTGAATTTGACCTAATTTACCAGGCAGCTTTGAACCTGTCTTCAAGTGAGGGAGAGAGAAAAGGATGTTATTATTTTACCATTTGGAAAAGAAGGTATCTCAATTCTCCAGGTCAGATTTACACCAACTGGTTTATGAAGATCCAGGTGGCAATTAGCCAACACCATGGGAAAAGCCAGAAAGCTGACTGCTTCCTCTTGAATGGACTTTGCAATGTCCCAGTGTATAGTGGTGACACATGTACTGTATGAACTCACATTACATTTATTTAGGGAAGCAAACATAATTTCCCACAAAGCCTTAGCGACATAGAAAGAACAACTATTTCATTCATGTCATTTTGCATTAAAAATAGAAAACTTCTTACCATTGTCTTTGGAAGAAGACCAACAAGTTTTGATGGAAACCAGAATGGAAAGAATCATGCTAAGTGGGGGGATGCTGAGTGAACACTGATTCCACTCTTCACACAGAATGGTAAAAGTATTCCTTTAATGTGTATTTAGTCTTTTTTCGCAAGGACCTTTAATGCTCCAAGTGCCAAAATAGTAAGAGAAAAAAAAAAAAACCCTAAGATACCGTCACCTTTAGAAATAGAAGTAAGAAAAGCATAATTTTTTATGATGTCTGTATGTCCATTAAAATCAATGATCAAAAAGTTTCATATAAGCTTTGGAGTACTCACCTGGCCTGCACAGAAAGCACACTCTCCATGAAGATGTATGATATTTGTGTAACAGCTTCTGCATCCACAGACATGAAGGGTTTTCTTGGGTTTGCTGTTGTTGGGCAGGGAGGTGTGGGGATTGGTTTTTTGTGGGTTTGTGTGTTTGAAAACAGTGCCCATGCTCCCAAGGGAAGCTAGAGTATAAAGCACTGAAGAAATCACAGAGAATTATTGAATACCATCCCAGCATGTTCCCCAGGACATCTCCTCTTTCAAATACCTAACTGATGCATTTTCCTGGGACAGAAAAGATGGGAAAAATTTCCAGAAACCTCATGGTGGGTTGACTCTGGCTGAATGGTAGGCACCCATCCAGCCACTCTATAATTTCCTCTTCTTAACCGGAGAGGGGAGAGAAAATAAAACAAAAGGCCCTCAGGTCAAGATAAGAACAGTGAGAGATTGTTCACCAATTACTGCTATGGGCAAAAGAGACTCAACTTGAGAAAAATTAGTTTATTGCAAATCAAATTAGGAAGTGTAATGAGAAATAAAACCAAGTCCTGCAGCACCTTCCTCCACCCTTCCCTTCTTCCAAGGCTCAGCTTCACTCCCAATTTCTCTACCTCTTCTCATCCAGCAGGGAGAATGGGGGGTTGTGGTGAGTTCATCTCACATTGTCTCTGCTGCTCCTTCCTCCTCAGGGGGAGGACTCCTCACATGCTTTCCCTGCTCCATTGTGAGGTCCCTCCAAAGGAAAGTAGGTCCTTCAAGAATTTCTCCAACATAAGTTCTTTGCAAGGGTTGTTCTTCATTAAATGCTCCAGCATGAGTCCCTTTCCATGAGGTGCAGGGCTCCTCTCTCCATAGATTCTGCCAGGACAGATTCTGCTCCAGCAAGGCTTCCCTTGGAGTCACAGCCTCCAGTCATCCCCCTGCTCTGGCGTGGTTTCCTTCAGGGGCTGCAGGTGGATCTCTGCACCCTCCCTGCCCTCCAGGGGCTGCAGGGGCTCAGCCACGGAATCTCAGGGTAATCCCAGCTCTGGAGCAGCTCCTGCCCCTCCTTCTGCCCTGCCCTGGGGGTTTGCAGAGCCGCTCCTCTCACATTCACCTGCTGTTGTGCAGTATATTTTACACTTTCTTAAATATGTAATCACAGAGGTGCTACCAGTGTTGCTGAAGGGCTCAGCCTTGACCAGTAGCAGGTCCATTGTGGAGCTGGGGTAAGCTTCTGGCATCTTCTCACAGAAGTCATCTCTGCATCCACCCTATCACCAAAACCTTGCCACACAAACCTAACACTCCTTTAATTCAAGTTTCTCATTTCATTTTCTACAGCTTCCTAAACACACTTTACTCCCAAATGACCACTGGCAGAATGACACCAACAGGTTGATTTAACAATAATGATAACAGTTTCTTGTGTCTGGCATGGAGATTTTATAGATGTCTGAAGAACAAAGAGATCCCTTCTAACATATACACCTCATTCTGAGCTTCAAAATATTTAGAAAGGGAAAACTCTGAGACTTCTTCCTCCTTTACCAAAATATGAAAGGACCCTTCAGAGGATTGTGTATTCCCTCACCAGGCTGTGCACATCAACACCAGCAGCATCAGCATAGAGTTCAGGCACCACTGGCTCAGGCACCTGCAGCACTGTGTGCCCATTGCTGGTCTTCATGGCTGTTTCCAGGGAGCACAAGAGCTGTGCTGGGGAAGGCCGGTCAGCTGCACTCCACTGCCAGCAGGACCTCATGATGCAGTACCTGTAAATCATGAAATGATGAAATTATGTCTTCATGCAAAGAAATGTACCTTAGATCTTCCTTTTGGATACTTTGTTCACTTCAGAGAATATCCTATAAGTTTGAAGAGAAAAATCATTCCCCAGCAGTGCTGTACCTTGCAAGGAAGCACCGGAGCAGCAAATTGCAAGGACACTTAAGCAAACAGAAACAAGTGTCATTTTCAACAGAAGGGAATGGAAACAAGTGTCATTTTCAGCAGAAGGACAGAAAGCTTTTGGCCACAGAGGTTTTATGCAGCAGAACTCAGTAAGGAGATGTGGCAGACACAAATCTCCTCAGCTAACAGATTACTCTCAGTATACTCTAGACTTAGAAATTTTGTGTAAAATCTCATTTTTTATGTCCCATTTCCATTTAGCTCTGCCAACCTCATGTTCGATTGTCCGTAAAGAGAGTGGCTTACATGGCTAGCTGGCAGCTCGAGGGCTGCTTCATAATGTTCTGTTTCTGCAGGTAGGATAAGATGTCAGAAGGTGGCACCTCAGGATATGGTGGAGCACCTGGAAGGGCAAAAGGAGCAACAGTAGAAAACTTTATGGCAGTGGTTGGAAAGAGCAGCTTCTGTGCAAGACTGCCTTCCTTCCCTGTCAAAATCGGGGTTTTTTCTACCACAATTCACAATAACAGAAGGTCTAAAAGGAATTGATGAGACTTTGCAAATTGGAAAAAAAGAAGGTGCTTATTTAAATGGCCCGACTTTACATTCCAAAAGTTAGAGATTTTGGGTCTTGTTAATTTGCTGCTTCCTCACGTATTTTTTTTTAGCATTAAATCTTCTTACCTAATGTAATCATTTCATACAGTAGAATTCCAAAAGACCATCTGCAAGAAAAGAAAACAAGGTGATGTTTTTTGCTGGCTTAAATACATTAAAACTAGGCATGGCCTGCAGACAGGAGAAAGAATGAGCTGTAAAAGTGGAGCGTTATGCTGAAACTAGATCTGCCTTCCTGTGAATTTCAGGACATGAAATGATACATAAAGGAGAGAAAGAGACAGGTGAACTTCTAGTCCCAAAATGATGCCATACATGTCTGCCTTGATGGTAGGGGGTTTGCTCAGGAGCCTCTCTGGTGCCTGCCACTTGACGGGCACTTTCCATGTGACTGAGCTGGCACCGTGTGTGTGAGTTTCGTAGGCCAGGCCCAAACCACAGAGCTTGGCAGTGAAGTTGTGATGGAGAAGGACATTCCTGGCAGCAATGTCACCATGGAACAAGTTCTTTTCTTCAAGATAAGCCTGGGAAATTGGAAAAGAAAGAAAACAGGAAATTTAATTGATACAAATTTTCACTGAGTTTATGCTTGTCTTCAACACTGTGGAGTTACATGTGCTCAGCAACATAAAGGAAGCATATTTTCACAAAGCCTTTATTCTCAGTGCTTAGGCCAAGAAGACTTAAGCCATGGCACAAACTTGTATTGCAATCAAGTAAGAAGGAAAAAATGCAACCAACCTGAGCAGACTTACCAGAGCTGCTGCAACCTGCTGTCCAACCTCATATACCTGCCTCTCAGTGAGGTCATAGGGGACACCATCCATTCCCATTACATCCTAGACACAAAATAAGGGACCTTGGTTCAAACAAATGCCACAGCAGTAGGATTGTGGGGAGTGTTTTCTTCTAATCTATCTAATCTTATGCCACTCTTTCTCACAATTGCTCATAAATTGACTGAAATGTAGGAGGACATGCATGGGTGATGCTGAGGGTATATTGAGTAAGACAAATATATTAGAGATACTAGTGGGCAAATTGACACGTGAGGAAAAAATTAATGTTAGACAGAAATTGTCAGAATGACAGTGAAGAATGACAATCCACACAGATGAATGAAAGTTATATTATAAATTAGAATGATGAGTAGAAAACCACATTTCTAACACATGAATTGGGCACCTGGGTCCATCTCTCCTACCACCCTGCCTGTTACAGTGAGAGATGAGAGAGAGAATAAGGTAAACACACAATGTTCTTCCTGTGCCACTTTACAGCCCACAGATACATTCTACTTAAAAACTTCCTTAGATGGTTATGGTTTCAACATGTTCAGTAACCTTTGAAATGTTACCTTCCATAACTGACCTAATATGAACTGTCAGTATCCACAGCAGTCAGTGGCATTCCATTAGTCAAATCCTCAGATCATGAAGAATCACCTCCATTTGTTTGTTTTGAACATGGCATGTACTAGCTTTATTTCCTACCACCTGGACCTTCTGCTGAACAGGACAGGAAGCAATCCTTCTCTATTTAGAGTTTCAGATGTAGGAGAGTGATGGATTTAGACAGTAATAGCAGAGTTTTGTTTCTGTGCCTTTTGTAACAATGAGTCATAGAATCAGAATATGCTGAAGTGGAAGCAACCCACAAGGACAACAGGGTCCAACTCCTGACCCTGCACAGGACATCCCAACAACCCCACCCTGTCCCTAACAGTGTTGTCCAAACACTCCTGGAGCTCAGACAGCCTTGGAGCTGTGACCATTCCCTGGAGCACCTGTTCAGTGCCCCAGCACGCTCTGTGGGAAGAATATCCTCCTGCTATCCAATCTAAACCTCCCCTGATATTTAGGCTCTTTTTTAGCTTGAGTTAACATTTTCACTGGACTGCATATTTTCATACTATCAGACCTCATCCCACCAGATTTTGCCACTCATCAGCAATGGGCAGACATGAAGCCATCACTCATATATAAGAAACTTCTTCCTGTGCATTATTTCATTTTTAACTCTGCTGAATTTTACCTGTTCTTTTTATTGGCAAGTCTCTCAATCTTGGATGATCCTTCTGCAATTCTTTTTGGTCTGCCTTTGGCTTTACTGGCTGGAATCATCAGCAAATATCCTCACGTCATTGTCATCCCATTTTTAGGTTATTAATACACAGAATGAACAGCACTATGCCCTAGATAGCTGACCTCCCTTCAGTGCAAGTGCCAACCTTTCATTCTTATATTCTATTTCCTGTCTTTACCAATTAGTTATCATCCCATGACCTTCCCCTGTGTTGTAACTGCTCTGCTTTCTTAAAAGCATTTGGAGTGATTTAAAACTTTAGGAATTCAGGTGAATTTATAAATTCATTCTCATTCCAGTGCCTGCAATGCCCTTCAATGGTCTGCCAAGTAGGACATGTGTAGAACTTCTCTGGAGCACAGAAATAGTTTTGATTGATATAGAGGGATGCATGGAGAGATGAAAAAAAAAATTATGACTTATGGATAGATATGTACCTAAGGAATTTAAGAAGCTATTCTGTCATCACTTCTTTTGACTCACCTTCCGACATGTCCACAGAAATGTCAGCAGGTCACCAAGAGACACATCTTCCATGATCATATACAGTGGGAGCTGGTCCACACAACATCCAACCAATTCAACCAGGTTCTCATGATGGCCAAGATTTTGATGGAATTTAATCCTTCCCAAGAAATCCTTCACTTTCTGGGGACTAGCTGGATCTGAGAGAACAAAAGAAAACAAATTGAAAACAAAACAACAACAAATGGAAGTAGCAAAGAACAGGTTGACAGCTAAAACCAACATGGTCAGCAATCTTTAATCCTACCAAGACATTCCTACAAGAACATCTCGGACTTACTGTACTGAACATAACTTGTTCTTGCCCAGAACTAATGGCAACGCTTTGCCCAGCACCATGTCTGGGATACAGAGACTGTACCAAAGTGGATCCTGGCCACGGCCCATACCTTGCAAGGCTTTCAACACCACAGCCTTAGTCTTTCCAGAGCTCCCAGTTTCCAACTGTGCTCTGTAGATGCTCCCATAGGCACCAAGTTTTATCAGCTGCAAGCTGTCTGGTAAGAGTTTCTCTCGTGGTATCTCTAATTCTTTCAGAGTCAAGGATGCAGAATTTAGCAGGCTCTCCACAGAGCTCTCCCTCAGCTGGATGTAGCGGTTCTCTGTTGAGCAGGGTTCCTGCTGATTCTTTCTTGTCACTGACAAAAGCAAACACATATGATGCATAAAAGCAGACAGATGAACTCTTGTAATAGATGGCAATGTTCATCCTTCCATGCTCTTTAATTTATGTTCCACAGTGTTTCAGAAATCAGGGCAAAATAAGGAACTGTTATTTTATCCTACTTATCCTGGCCCTTGAAGACAACAAAGAATTTATCTCCCACTCTATTTGATGAAAACACAGAAGCAGTCTAGAAATTTCTCCCATATTTAACTACATAACCTTTATAGATAAGACACATTTGTACTTCATTCCATGTGCTCAAGCAATGAACATTTTCTTTTATTACCAGTTCTCAGTTATTTCTCTTAATATAGGCCCAAGATCTGTTTCCCTCTACATATACAAAATTAGTTCAGAACTGTATTTTCATTTCCACACAGCCACGTGTGCCAACAAACCTTCCCCTACCCCCTCACCAGTTCTACTTCACCCTGTTCTACTACCTACTACCCCCCTCACCCTGTTCTACTTCATGTTATCTCCATAGGAAGAGGGTGACAGCAGCTTGAAATTAAATTTCTTAAATGGCAGTACAGAAAACAGATTAACTAGGTGTAATCTACACCAAAATTACTAGCATTCTTAATTACTCCAGTAAAACTCTCCTTGCAGCAGCCTCCAGGAGCTGTTACACAAATACATTTTGCAGCTCTTGTGATGTTACCACAGCACATAAAACAGCCCACATGGCATGATGCTTTAGATTTTCTCAGGTCCATCTACACTACAGCTTCCACCACTGCTGCTGCAAAATGAAGTAAATCAGTGTTCACAATTTTTCTAATGTTTATTGGATTGCTGAATGCCACTCAGGATCCTTATAAATGGTTTTGCCTAACAGCTCAAGTGATGGGGAAACTGAATTGGCTTCTGGCTGTATTGGCCATATTGTATTGGCTGAAACCAGTACTCTTTCCTCTGGCTGAAAAGCATTTTTTTACCTTGGGTTCTGGCTGGTGCTGATTGCTCCTGCTTTGCTCGCAGGCCACGGCAGTGGAGCCAGAGGATCACACTGAGCACAATGACAAAAAGTCCCACCAGGAGAACTGGGACAACGATCACTTCCGTTTGATGTTCACGCACAACTGCCAGCAGAGAAAGAAAATGGAAAACCAAGGAGTAAGCAGCACACTGGTTCTGTGTAACCATGTAGGAACAATCCATTTCAGTAACTTTCAGCCCCAAAAGTGTGTGTTCCATCTTCTGGAATAACTGAACACTGTTAGTGCTGCCACCTTATTTTTCAAAGGTGCTGAGTACCTAAACTGTATGTTTAGTATGAAGTCACTAATACTCCTACACCCAACATCACTTATTTAGATGCTTTAATATGCAGGCCAGGAATTGTAGTCATTTGAAGTCACATCCACCAGTGAAACAGAAACAGCACTGGCAGCAGGACAGCAGGGAGATGGCACGGGCTGGATATTGCTGTGTCATCACGTGCAATTGCAGCTCCGGCTCCTTCCAGTAAAATTACACAGAGCATTTTAAAGGAAACTAGGTGTGGTCACCTTTGGAATTTGACTGGAAGACATTGCAATTAGCAAGGCTTGTGAAGGTAACTATCTATCTTTCTCATATCCCAGATTTGGAGGTGGTTAAGACCATTTTTTCTGTTCCCAAAGATGGCAGAAAGTCATGAAATCAAAATCCCACAAAACTGGTCCTTTGGGAAGCTGCAGGGAATCTTTAATGACTGCTGTACACCTCATTCGAAGTAGTAATTCTCTAAAATGGCTGAAATTATGTGATATTAATCCAGCCACAGAGGCTTCATCCCCATAAACATTTCTTCCCTGAAACACAACGCAGGGAAAGCTCCATCAAATCTTTCTGTGTGGGCTGGGATGTAGTGGAGGAGAAGAAAGGGCTTGGCACACTTTTTAGTGAACCTGGCCTTCCTGCAAGCATGTGAAATCTTATTAAAGGAATGTGTGAATCTTACCACATAGCTTGTCATTGCTATTACACTCCAGCAGCATCCGTGAGAATCTTTTCACATCCCCTGCCATGTTCAGTTACAAGCAAGCAGGCCTCCAGCCCCCACTTTCTGCACAGACATAAAGAATAATAACAAAGTTTATTGGGAGAAAGGATGATGGTGAATCAAGAAGTGAAGTGAATAGGGAGCTTTCTACCCCTTACAATCAGTGGCTGCAGGGAGCAGCACTGGATTTGAAGGCTTGCAGAATGACACAGGACATCCACTATCACATCCTAAGGATGATGCACTGCATGACCAGAGAGAATTTAGGGTTAAGCTTGTTCTACAGTGCTCCACAAGCAAATGAGAACCCCTAGTCCTGAAGGCTGGCATATGTACAAAAATCCATAGATATGAACCTAATTATATTTAAAGAACATCTAATACCCTCCTAGCTAACACATTTCTAAGATGCCAGAATGGCTCAGCATTTTATCTTCTGGTCTATTACAAGTGAACAGATCAGCAGCATGCATAGAAAATGCCATTCCTGACTACATTCCTTGCCACAACTCCTACTGTTGCTGTACAAAGACAAGGAGAAAAAAGAGTTGTCATTAGGGCTCTCTGGTACCAACTCCTGAGCACTGCCAAGTCTGTAGGTATTCTGAATACAACATCTGCAATTCATCTGCATTTGTAGCTGAAAATCCACAGCCTGCACAAGCATGCACCTTGTTTAGTCACTGCTTCTTATAAACATTGCCAAAATGTAAGACTTAACAGCTTTGCAAACAGAATTATCTAGAACATTTTATTGGAACTGTGACTTCTATCCTGTAAGCACCTACTGTGCTTTCAGCTATGAGTTTTAGGCAATTAACCTCAATGGCAAATACAGGGCATTGATTTTATGGAATTTGGTGATGAAATGTTTAACAGTTTGTTCTCATGCTTAAAATTAATAAGTGAAAATATTCTTTACCAGTTGCACATCAGAGACAGTGGAGAGAGGCAAATGGAATATACCTGTGTTTTAAGGTATCACAAAAAGTCAGTTTCCTTTTTTTATTTAATTTCATTTTTAATGTGCTAGCAGATTTACCTGGTTCCAAGCTTGGCTACACCAGGAATCCAGTCAAAGGAGTAATAACACAGCAATAATACCAAGCTTTTCAGGTACACTCTGAAAGCAAGCACTCTGAAACAACCCACCTCAGCTCTAATACACACACACACACAGACACACCCACACACAAATACACAGGACCAGTCCTGGCTTCCTTCATTCTCAGGTACACACAGACTTCAGGACCATTAGCCAGCAGTCATATTGTCTAAGTCATGAACAGTCCAAGCTCCATTTTAAAACTTGCCAATGGCTTTATACAGGTGCTTACTAGAAATGCACACTGACATTTACACACCATACATGCACAGGCACACAAGAGCACATACACTCCCATTTGTGCTTACAGAGAGTGCAGCAAAGATCCATGGAAAAAGCTCTGACACAGCAGCCACGTCTACACTGGTCCCTCTCTGTAAAAAAGGTTCCTCCCTACTCTTCATGCACCTCCCAGCAGTGATGCCAGTGGGTGGCACTCATGTTTTCCAACCACACTCAGGGCAGAACCATGGGATTCAGGAATGAAAACACTGGCAGTCACTGGCACTTTATTTGCTCTGGCACTCCCATGTGCTGCAGTTTCTTATGGAGGTGTAAGCACTGGGAAAGATTGATTACAGAAGCCCACTTACACTCTTTCTCTCTATCCTCTCACAATACTCAGCAAGCAGAAAAAGAAGTTTTGCTTACTGTGGTAATTCTGAAGTGCCTTTCAGTGCTACTTTTCAGGCCAAGACTAAATAAATTCCTGTACTAGGCTGTTTCTGCAGCTTACTTGTCTAACAGTAACATCACTGCAGTTCTTACATTCCTATCCTCACAAGGAGAATGGTAACTCAGAAATCCCACAGAACTCACATTATACATTTAATATTTTTTGCAAAGGGAGATGCACAAAAGCTATGTGGAACTAACGTGTTTATGTGCATACTCAACACAGAGCACGACTACTGACAGTGCTCAACTACTTATTTTAGTAGATGAAGACATTTTTCCAGTACCAAGACAGGATAAAGGTAACAAAAATATCTTAAAAGGTTCAAAATCTGTACCTCACTGGCATTCTGATTTTCCTTGCCTGGGCGTTAACACTGTACCAAGATCAGTGCTGTCTAGATCATATGAACATATACACTGTGTTACTTCAATTTAGAATTTGCATGAGAGAATTTGTGCAATTTTAACTAAATGTCAGCTTCTTTATTCCACTGGATTTTTTAATATTCTTTTACACAGACTGAATCCACTCACTGGAATTCATAGAATTGTAGAGATTGGAAAAGATCATTAAAATAATCAAATCAAACAGCCAGCCCAGCACCATGTCCACCACTAAACCATGCCCTCATGTGCCACATCCACAGGCTTTTTGTACATTTCCAGGCATGGTGACTCTACCAACTTCACTGTGTAGCCTATCCCAATGTTTAATGAATCTCAGCAAAGAAATTTTTCCTGATCTAATATAAACATCCCCTGACACAACCTGAGGCTGTTTCCTCTTGTCTTGTCCCTTGTTCCCTGGCAGCAGAGCCTGATCCCCCCCAGCTGTCCCCTCCTGTCAGGGAGTTGTGCAGAGCCAGAGGGGCCCCCCAAGCCTCCTTTTCTCCAGGCTGAGCCCCCCCAGCTCCCTCAGCCCCTCCTGCTGCTCCAGCCCCTTCCCCAGCTCCGTTCCCTTCTCTGGACACGCTCCAGCCCCTCCATGTCCATTTCTTGTCCTGAGGTTCCCAGAAGTGCCCCAGGATTTGAGGTGCAGCCCCAGCAGTGCCAGCCCAGGGGACAGTCACTGCCCTGGCCCTGCTGCCACACCAGGGCTGGCACAGCCCAGGTGCCATTGGCCTCCTGCCCCCCTGGGCACGCCTGGCTCCTGTCCAGCCGCTCTCCCCAGCACCCCCAGGGCCTTTCCCATCTTTCCAGCCCCTCTGCCCCAGCCTGGAGCTGCAGGGGGTTGGGGTGACCCGAGGCAGGACCCACGACCTGGCCTTGTTGAACCCCACACAACTGGCCTAAGTCCATGGATCCTGCCTGTCCAGCTCCCCCTGCAGAGCCTTCTGACCCTTCTGAACCCAAATCCTGATGTCAAAACTAAATATACAATGAAGACCACAGTACCTAAAAATAGCAGAAGCAGCTGCTCTTAGACAATGGGAAATACAAGGCAAAACCTTAGCAGAAGTTGAACTACAGTCACCTGCAAACTGCTCCTAGCAGGCTGCTTGGTGCACTACACGTGGCACAGCAGTTCCACAGCCTGGCAGCAGTGCCAGGTTAATTAGCCCCCATCCTACACCAACACTGCCCCTCTGTGCACATTTGCCAACAGGATGAACACCTGGGGAAAAGGCAGCATTTTGTTTCCAGCTGTGTTTGCTTGCCAAGCTGTTTTGCTGCCCTGGCAATTTAGACAAAGCACAGAGGGCAACACAGGGACAGGAATAAGCAGCTAGAAGTGGCAGCTGTGGGAGCTGCTTAAACCAGTTTAGGAAACCCAAATAGTGAATGTGAATGTAGCTGAGCTGAATTAAGTGTTCACCAATGCCAAAAGAAGGGATTATCTCCTGTCTTTGCTGTCTTCTTATTGCTTGTTTTGCCCTCAGTTGTGCAATTGATCACATGGTAAGTTGATTCAAACCACTAACCAAGCAGGAAAAATCCACTGCTCTTTTGCCATGGTGATTTCCTGCCATTTTAGTGGCTGGTATTAGTCAGGGGTGAATGGCTAATTCATCTAAAGCTGCAGTGTGAAACCACTCCCTGTGTCAGCACAGATCCACAAGCACTGTGTGCCAGCAGAACCCTTACCATGATTTTTCCCGTCCCCTGTCATTCATTCTCAGATGGATACTGACCCCTTAGCAATAGCAGAAGCATTCACACAATTGTAAAGCCCTAAAATCATCAATCCTCTCTGACATTTTATGGCCTGAAGTTCTCATTATGTTATTTCAAGTGCCAGGATGAAGACTTAAGAAGCCTGAGTGACAAACTTTGTGGTGAAGACTGAAAAGAAATATCAAGACTTAAGACGCCCATGAAATATATGGGAACAGACAGCTTGAATATGCCCACACAGAAGCTGCCTGCTGCTTTCTCCTGCCATGTTCAGGAGAGTTAAGTTGTCCATATTCACAGCAAATATACAGTTTTGCCCCTGAATATGTCTAATTTGTAAGCTATGAGCAGTTTCCATCATCAGTGTGAACATGCAAATCCTTGTGTAATGATTAGCTAAAGGTCTAAAGAAACAGCTGATTAATTAAATACGACAAAAACAAAGGCTAAGATTCATCTAGATCTTCATTAGACCCTATAAAAATGCTATGAGCTGACATGGACTTAATGCAGTTATTTCTCCAGACATCCTGTCCCACGTTAACTGCATACCACTTTATTATAAAAGTATTCTTACACTTGTTTTTCATGCACCAATTGGGAGGACCAGCCCTAATGTGACTACAGGCACATAAAGAACAGCTGAGTAATTCAGTAACTTCAGTCCAGCACACTGCCTGACTGAAAAAGACAAATCCTTAAACCTTATGTCTGCTACTCAATTTCTTGCAGTGGCAAAACTTTGCTCTCCAGCTTTGACCGTTACTATTTCACTGCTGCTTTTATTATTTACCTCCTCTTTTATCTGACCTTTAAACATGGTCAACAGTCAAGGCTTTGGCAACTGCTCTGCACAAGCGCACTGTGCTGGCTGTGCAGCAGGAAGGGAGAGCAGCCACCAGGGAACTTCAGGAACCAAAGCAGCAGGAAACCACAGGTGTGGGCAGTTGTGGACATTGAATGTCAGAGAAGAGGGAGGAATAAAGCACCACTGTAAAGCAAACACTGAAAAAGAGATTTTTTTTTCCCCTGCCATGTCCACTGTTTACTAAAAGCAGCATCCAAAACAAATAAAAAATGAGCCTGACGGGTTTCAGCCATCCATTTGTTAGACTGCATATTTTGTCTCTTCTGCCAGCAGAAGACCTTAGAGACTATTTCCAACAGACCATGTCACTTTTGCAAGGTTTCCCTGGCCCACAGAGTCACCTCATCTCTCACTGCAATGCACCTGTGGGTCACCAAGCAGCATCTTCACCTGCGCTGAATGGGAAATTCTGACCAGCCACACCAGAGTCCTTCTGTCCTTGAGAACAAGGACTAAAAATAATATCCTGTGGCTTGCTGTAGCACTGTCTCAGCTGTAAAGATTTAGTATTATAACTCACTTTTGAAACAGCTGGTAGCTGTAACACCCTATAAGAAAACAGTGTTTCAAAAATCAGATACAGAAACACAATATTTTCTCTTGGTCCAAAATTAAAAGCAATACTGGAATATCAAACTTAGGCTAGCTGCTACAGAAGCATATTAAGGGAGTGGAAGAAAATTAGGCTGACCACTTTTGAAGAGCTAGACCACAGAGAAAACAGCAAATAATGAGGCCCATGCTGCTATTTGAGCAGGTGGTTACTTAGAGGAAACTTGGCTCCCATTCAATAGAGCAGGAAAAACAGGCAAAGTTAACAGTCACTACTGCACTGAAAAATGAGTCAGGAGAACTCACTGCTGCTGTGCTTTATGCTAAAAATGTTACCTCTAACTGGCACCATTTCAGTGGAGATATACAAGTTCTTACAGTGCTAGGTTTTGCTTAGATCATCTACAAAAATTAATTTATTTGTGCTGCATAAGGAAATCTAAGTACAGAAGTGTGAAATGGTACAGAACCTGAATAAGGATTAAGACAAAGATATTTTTTCTAATGCAGACATGGACTACTATAATTTCTGGAAAATTAACATATATCTTCAACATTCCCAATGAACTAAGGCCACCCAAAGTAATTCCTCACAGGTAATCTGAAGAATGAGTTAAAATAATAAAAAAAACCCACGGAGTACATTACGCTGAAGCCCTTAATGAGCAGGCCATAAAAAGTCTAGAGGCCAAACTTTCAACAGTACACTATTATCTATGGCTTCCTTTTATGAAAAAAAAAATCATATACTACTTTTGAAAATGTCTCCCTGCTGACTGAGCTCTGATTTTGCTGGTAGCTGCCTGTATTAAGCCTGTATCAAACCCCAGCACAAATACAGAAATTCTGGAAAACTGTGACAGCAAAAGCTATGACAGAACATGAGAAGAATGAAGGATTTTTGTTTCAAAGGACCATGCATACATATAGCTCTTGTTGTGAGAAACCAACTGTGTGATAAAAACACTCTATGACATCACATTACTGCTTAAAGGTTTCAGAAATCCTACATAAATCTGGTTTCATAAATTCATGGACACCTGAAGCTGTGTAGATAATTTTAGTTTTAGTTTCCTAAGTTCTGGATGTTTCTTGGTGGATCTAACACAGATTTTGTTTGTAATTTAATCAGTAGCTCATGCACATATAGGTAAACACAT